TTTGTTACCTATTTTGTCATGCATCAATACACCTTCAAATCTAAAATATATGGTCAAACATGGGCATCAAACTATTCCTCTAATGGTTGGTAATTGCAAAATGTTATCCCTTAGCCACTTCAACTTAACCATGAATCCAATGGGTGTCTCAGCTTTGTTGGGAATGATTTTAAGATACATGTCACATAGCTCTTCCTAGTCGAACATTATCGACCCAAAAATTGGATAACCATCCAGTCTTAAGTCAAGTTGTAGTGTAATATGATGATGTATTCACTAATAGGTAGATAAATGTATGAGTTTGTCTCTACCTCTACACCAAAGCAATCACTAGATTGTGGTCAACTTTTACTTGTCTTACCACTACCCCAAAGTCAGCTTCCTCTAGTAAAAGAACAATTAAAGAATGTGGCTCAGGCATTGAGTGAAAGTAAAAAAACACAATACTATCTTTATAGTCTTGCAATACTAATAAAATAAGGCAAACATTGTCAAATATGGTTAATGTAATGATGAAGTACAAAAGTTATAAAGAATATGGATACAAGAATATTATCATTATTCTTATCGAAGTAGACTTATGTTCAACTTGTTTCCACAACATCTTTAAGATTGTAGTATGAAAGTGAGAAACACACAATGTACAATTAAAATGTGTATAATTTTGCAAAATTGTTACTTGAGTGTGACATGAAAGAAGGAAAAAATGGGAGTAGATATTGAGGATCATGACTAAGTTAGGTTATTACATGACATGGATACAACCTAGGTTGTTAATGAGTGGAGACTTCATTGTGCTTGTTGCTTATTGTTGACACCTTATTGCATGACAAGATATAGAGGAATCTTACTATGAATAATGACTTTGTCCTCTGGGTTAGTTGATGTGGATGTAATGTAGGTCACTGATCAAGGAAAACTTCATCATGATTGTTGCTTTTTGCTAACACCATGAGTATCATGTGTTTGAGCATGGTGTAGAAGAATCTAATCATGAATTGTGACTTTATCCTTTGAATTGGGTTATTGGTTGATGTGGTTACAATCTAGGTCATTGATGAGTGGAGACTTCGTCGTGATTGTTGTTTTTTGCTAACACCTTGGACAACGTGTCAACATGTAGTACAAAAGAATCTTAAAGTGAGCAAGAACTTTGTCTTCTGAGTTAGGTCATTAGGTGACGTGGGTCATTAATGAGTGGAAACTTCATTGTGGTACGTATCTCAGTGCATGGTGCAAAAAAAATCATACCATGAACAATGATTTTGTTCTCTAAGTTGAGTCGTTTGAGTGATGTGGATGCAATTTGGGTCGATCATGAATGGAGGCTTCATCGTGGATATTGCTTTTTGTAAACACCTTGAGCAAGGTGAGTAAGTGATGGTGTAGAGGAATCTTATCATGAACAGTGACTCTACCCTCTGAGTTGGGTCACTGAGTGATATAGATGACCTTGAGCAACGTGTGTAAGTGATGGTGTAGAGGAACCCTATCATGAACAGTGACTCTACCCTCTGAGTTGGGTCGTTGAGTGATGTAGATGTAATCTGGGTCACATGTTAAAAGGAAGAAAATTGAATTCACAATAGCAAAAATATCATAACATGACACATTACAAAGATTATTTTGTAAGATGTTTGACCTTGGTGTATAGTTTTTACAGCAACGAATGCAATGGTAACAGTTTTAAGTTAAAAAATTGTTGTTAAAAGGAAGAAAATTTAATCTAAAATAATGAAAAAAATCACGAAATGACACCTTACAAAAGTTATCACTTTAGGGGTTTTCATGGGTTTTATTTGTCACTTTCATAAGATTATTTTGTAAGATATTTAATCAAAGTCTATAGTTTTCATAGCAATGAACACAATAATAACAATTTTAAGTTAAAAAAATTTGTTGTTAAAAGGAAGAAAATTGAATCTAAAGTAATGAAAAAAAATCACAAAATGACATTGCAAAAGTTATCATTTTGGCATTTTAAAAGATTTTATCTACCACCTTCATAAGAATATTTTAGAAGATGTTTCACTGTAATATGTAGTTTTTTCACAAGTACGAATGCAATGATATTGGTTTTAAGTTTAAAATTTGTTGTTAACAAGATGACAAATAAATCCAAAGTTGGCCAAATATCATTAACTGCAAAATGCAAAATGCACAAATTACACAAATGAGTTAAAAAGACACATTACACAACTTTGATCCAAATTTCATTCAAATGATCTTTGTTGAAATTCCATTTTCTAGGTAAGAAGACCTTAATGCATCGAAACATAAAAGGTATATAAGCCTATAATATAAATTACACGAAAATACTAATAAACTACAACAAACTTAAAAATTATTCATCTTGGAAAGGCTCAAAATTTTGTAATTTCCCTCTTTACATGCCAAAGTCAATGCAGGGGGTTCAACCTTTCATCATATGAACAACCATTTCCATCATCATATGTTCAGCAAACCGCAAATGCAATTATATCATTTACTTAACAACAAAATCAGTTGTTATTTGCATCATCTCTCCAACATGAGCATCATCCAACATAGGTTTCAAGTAGAAGACGTTGGTGATTGACCTTGAATATGCAAAAGTAATCGAACGTTAGATCCAATTTTTCAAATGGATTAGCAAAATTTCAAAAAGGTTATGCAGAGACTATAACAATTATCATAAGTAATGCGTGCCCTAAATAAATTATGAACATCGAGTTCTTCAATCACCATCATTTTCTCTCTAATGAAATTTTTTTATATTTGATACTCACTTCTATCTTACTAAATTTCTTGATAAAAAATGTTCAATGTTTAATGTATTTGTTAGATATTGTTTAGATATTATTTGATATTGTTAGATATTGTTAACCACAATATCAAACAATATTTTTTGTTTACTTTCGGTTACTATTTTAGTTGTACATCTCTCTATTATAAATAGATTATCCTATGTGTAGTTTATACACAAGGTAGATTAATCTCAAACCATATTTCCTCTATATTCAACATAAAATCTAGAGCTTAAGGTTATTTTAAAAAATTTTCGTCTTTAGCCACTATTGGAGCCGCCACTGCTATCAGTTAAACTGATCTTCCACATCAAAAAATAATTATTTTTGTTACTGGATATTATTTGATAGTATGAGAGTGAAGTATGAGAGTGAATGTCTAAGAATGTTCTGACAAGGAAAGACTTAGTATTTAAGTGTGTCCATTAGTAATTCACCTCCTTTTCTTAGGAACTTACCTAATATGATGGCTTATTCCGCCGTCGCCACCCACCTTACAAATGATTTAATATAGATTACAAGTTACATTAATGTAACCCAAATATTTAAGTACTAAAAAAAATCTATACCAAGCATATAACATGAACAAAGGTAAAAAAAAAATTAAATTATTTATTTGCAATCGTAACTTAGAAAATAAATAGAGAATAACACATTCAATATATCTCATTACTTATAAGATGATTACAATTACTCTTTATTATATATTATTTCTAATTTAATTAAATTTCAAATTATATATATATTTATCATGTATTATTTTATCTATGTTATAAGATGATTACTCTTTATTATATTGTTTCTAATTTAATTAAGTTTCAAATTTTATATATATATATATATATATATATATATATATAATTAATATATTATTTTAACTATGTACAGTATGCTTTTTTTAATATTTTCTTTCAATAATTTTAATATTACAAATTTTAACAAAATATTTATTCATGTTATATAATATAAAAATTTAATAATCATTTTTAATGAAGATATTAAATATTATATTCAAATATTTATTTTACATATTCAAGAAATAGTTAAAATTGTTTATATGTGTATATTAAATATATAACATGTTTTTAATAAAGTTATATCATTGTATATAAAGTATATATGTATCTCTGCTCTATTTATAAATATATAAATGTGTTTATTAAATACATAAATATAAAAATATGTACAAATTAAATATATTAATATATAAATATATAAATATGTATTTGTTAAATATATAATTATATAAACATGTATTTATTATACATATATAAATATGTAATTGTATTAATATTCAATATATAAATATATAATTATTTTATTATTAAATAAACGATTATTCTCGTTATTTTTCATATATCATTTTTTCTTTATTTTATTAAAAAACAAAAACAAAAAAATGGTAAAATCAACTCGGAATTCGGTTTTCCAAAACCGAATTCTAGCCGGTATTCCAACTAAATTTACAAAAATTGAAGATCAAAATTCGGCTCATAGGACGGAATTCTGATCTGAAAGTAAAAACCATGATATCTTCATAAATTTTGTGTACAATATGCTATCTAGGAAAGAAAAAAAGGCACTTCAGTGCTATTGGCAGAAAAAAAATCTCAAATAGCATACTTGATATATATACATCATGAGATAATACATTATATGCCAAACTGGGTACATGTTTTCTTTATTATTTTCTTAGACACTCTCCTCACAAAAACAGTCAATTATTCAAGACATTCAAACCAACTACGTCTTTGTCCAAACAAAGGAGCGGATATAAGATTGAGGAGTTCAGGACGAGCTACCATTCCAAAATAACAGTCTTTCTAATGTTTCACTTGAAACCACAACGAAAGAAGCCAATAACTTTAAATGGAATTAATGGATAGATAAACGAAAATACTTTCGACAAAATGGAACGAAGGTCACAAACCATGAACAGGATCCAAAATCAATCACTCGCGAAGTTAAATCCATCGCCCAAAATCTCATTCCAAGCGACGCAGAGAGGTCCGACTTCAATTCATTCCCAATCTCACAATATGCTCAGAAATAGTTAAACGCCATCATATTCTTCAACTAAATTTAAATAAGCCAATGTCTAAGTCGCGCAATAAGGAAAATAAATACAGCAGAGACTAAACAAAAATCCCGGTCCGTAAAAAACGAAACGTATTGGAAAAAACTTAACAAAAACCCTAAACGGTACCGTTAAAATCAAGCGGTAAGAACAATGGCGCCTCCGGCCTCCTTGATCTTCTTCTCGGCGATCTTGGAGACGAGCTTGGCTTTGACTACGAGAGGTTGGTTCTGCGGCACAACGCCCTTCCCCAAAAGCTTGAAGTAACCGAACTGCGTGACATCGATGAGAAGCGCCTTGTTGTCCTTGGAGGCCTTGTCCTTGGCTTCCTGGGGGACGAGGGACCACAGCTTGTCCACGTTGAGGATGGGGCAGTGGAACTTGTTGCGGAGTTTGTGGAAGTACCGCATTCCCACCTTCCCAAAGTATCCTGGATGGTATTTGTCGAAGAGGATGCGGTGATGGTGCATGCCTCCGGCGTTACCGCGCCCTCCCGGGTGCTTCCGGTGCTTTCCGATGCGCCCATGACCTGCACTCACGTGACCCCTCTTCTTCCTGTTCTTCTTGAACCGCGTCGTCATCCTCTCTTCGCTCTCTCTCGAACACACTCTGGTCCTGCGTTGAGCCCTTGCAGCGGCGAAATGAAGTATCTAGGGTTTCAGGAATTTATAGGTCAACTTTTTTATACTTGTTTTTGCCCTGTCGGTCCAAGCCCAATAACATAAGGCCTTTTGTTTTGCTAAACTGGCTTATTAGAGCAGAGGTTGAGTTTTGATACCGTCCTCTTATTTAGACCATCGCATTCTGTCTGTTTCAATTTCAACCATATTTTATTCTCAACTTCATTTGTGCTTATTACATATATATATTATAATGCCTCATTATATTTTAAGTCTCGTTCTGGATATAATTTTTTAAAATTTTAAAAATATAATTTTAATTTATAAATAATAAATTTAAAAGCATAAAATAAGTTTTTCAAAACTACTTTTATTTTGAAAACATATTTTTAATAAATTTAAGGAATTATAATGAAATTATTTAATTAAAGAGACTAAAATGTATTTACTTCAAATTTTTAAGACTAAAGATGTAACTAAACTTAAATATAAATAAAAATCAACATATATGATAAAAGTTTTTTTTTTAATTTTATAAATATAATCGTAATGGTAAATTATCATTGTCATTAAATAATTTATATTTTGATTTTCTTGTAGTTATTTATTCTAATTGTAAAATATTGTTTTTAATTCCATATGAATTTTCTTTAATACTTTATTAAAATCATTTCACGTGTTTAAAGTTTAATCATGTTATTGTGGGTTTTTTTCTTAATGAAAGAGAAGAATGTTAAGACATCTTTACATTACATCGAGGATAACTTTAGTTAGGTTAACCTACCAATTGGTATCATTCATATGCAGCAATTTTATATTGCATTAAAAAGAAAGAAAATAAAAAATACAAAGTGAAGATGATATGAGAATTACTAATATTAAAAGATAAAGTATAAGACTACATTTATTCTTACCAAATTTATATGAAATACAAAGAAGAGTAAAAGAGTCATTTATTTTTATCCCAAATTTAAGAAGATTAGCAGGATATTTATTTTCTTCCATAAAAACATTTTATTTTTAATTATTAATTAATAAGATCATAGTTACATAATTACATTCTAACAAAAATCTCATAATAATCAGAGTGTCTCACCTTATAAAACTTAATATTATTCATGTTGTTGCATATTTTATAAATAAAATGAACAATATTAAGAGTGTTTCACCTTATAGATACTTAAAAAATGAGTAATATCAAACATAAATTATAAAGTCACTCTTAAAGTTTTAATAATTGAGCACAAGAAAATACACATTTAGCCATCGAAATTAGTGACCGAATTTTTTCGGTCGCAATTAGTGACCGATTTAGCGACCGCTTTAATTTTGGTCGCAATTAGCGACCGATTTAGCGACCACTTTAATTCGGTCGCAATTAGCAACCAATTTAGCGACAAAAATATGATTTGGTTTTCACTTTTTTATTTAGCGACCAATATTTTGCGTCGCAAAATTTCGGTCGCTAAATCGGTGGCTATTTCATACTAAAATAAAAAATCATTTAGCGACTGATTTAGCGACCGAATTACAAATTGAAATAGTGACCGAATTAAAATTGGTCGCTAATGAGAAAATAAACGATCATTTTATCTGATTTTTGCAATATCGCTCAAGCGAATTTCACATCGTTCGAGCGACGCCAACTGCTAAGATTGGGAAGTCTCGGGTTGTATTTCGCTTGAGCGACACTATTCTCGCTCGAGCGACATCCGATTCAAACATAAGGTCACCCATGTTACATTATCCGGCTAACTTTGATCGACGTTTACGCAGGTCAACATTCGCTCAAGCGAAAACAACATCGCTCGAGCGACGCCACTTGCACAAAATAGGCATTCTCGGGTTGTATTTCGCTTGAGCAACACTGGTCTCGCTCGAGCGATATCTGATGCAAAAATGTGTCAATAAATAAATAAAATATTTGTCACTTTTAAGAGCGGTTAATATTTTCACCACTCTTAAAAGTGAACATATAATACCGCTATCTAAAATATATTTTAGATAGCGGTTGAGTTTAACCGCTATTAGAAGTTCGCTTTTAAGAGCGGTTCAGATGAAACCGCTATCATATACAACCACATTTTTTTATTATGATCAATTAGATTTTCAAATGATCGATCATATTTGATAATTTTTTCAAATAATTAATTATAATCGATTAGTTTTCTAAATTATTGATTAGAATTGATTAGTTTTTCAAATAATAGATTATAATTGATTAATTTCTAAATATATATTAAAAAATTATAATTAAAAATATAAATTATTTAAGAATATTAACTATTGTAAAGATAAAGTAGAACATGGGAGGAGATGAGGATGATAATATAATGATAGAATTTACAAAAATGTAGAATTGAGAAGTTTAAAACAAAAAAAATTAAGAAAATAGAGATTTAATTACACTTTTAATAAATTTAAGATAATACTAGTTTTGATTTTTATTTTTAAATATTTATTTTAATTTTTTAAAACAGAGAAACTATAATTTTAGTTTCTAAATACTCAATTTAAAGAATTAAATTTATTATTATTTAATATTTTAATTTTAGAATTAAAATTTAAATTATATTTCATTAAATTAAAATAATTACAATATATTTTTCTACTTTGAGAATGAACAATATAATTAAACTCAAAATTGACAATATTATAATACATTTTTTAACTCTTTTAGATTAATTTTATTTTCCTAATTTTTGATAAAGTTAATTTTAATACTTAAAAGTATTTAACATTTTGAATTCTGAAACATTTTCTCTAATAGCAAATTTAAAAACATAATATTCAAAAAATTAGTTAATGTAAGTTTTCATTATGATCGATTATATTTTGAAATGATCGATCATAATTGAAAATATATAATAGCGGTTCCACGTTAACCGCTATCTAAAATATATTTTAGATAGCGGTTGAGGTTTAACCACTATTAGAAGTTCGCTTTTAAGAGCGGTTCCAGATGGAACCGCTATCATATACAACCACATTTTTTTATTATGATCGATTAGATTTTCGAATGATCGATCATATTTGATAATTTTTTCAAATAATTAATTATAATCGATTAGTTTTCTAAATTATTGATTAGAATTGATTAGTTTTTCAAATAATAGATTATAATTGGTTAATTTCTAAATATATATTAAAAAATTAAAATTAAAAATATAAATTATTTAAGAATATTAACTATTGTAAAGATAAAGTAGAACATGGGAGGAGATGAGGATGATAATATAATGATAGAATTTACAAAAATGTAGAATTGAGAAGTTTAAAACAAAAAAAATTAAGAAAATAGAGATTTAATTACAATTTTAATAAATTTAAGATAATACTAGTTTTGATTTTTATTTTTAAATATTTATTTTAATTTTTTAAAACAGAGAAACTATAATTTTAGTTTCTAAATACTCAATTTAAAGAATTAAATTTATTATTATTTAATATTTTAATTTTAGAATTAAAATTTAAATTATATTTTATTAAATTAAAATAATTACAATATATTTTTCTACTTTGTGAATGGAGAATATAATTAAACTCAAAACTGAAAATATTATAATACATTTTTGAACTCTTTTGGATTAATTTTTTTTTCCTAATTTTTGATAAAGTTAATTTTAATATTTAAAAGTATTTAACATTTTGAATTCTGAAACGTTTTCTCTAATAGCAAATTTAAAAACATAATATTCAAAAAAATAGTTAATGTAAGTTTTCATTATGATCTATTATATTTTGAAATGATTGATCATAATTGAAAATATATAATAGCGGTTCCACGTTAACCGCTATCTAAAATATATTTTAGATAGCGGTTGAGGTTTAACCGCTATTAGAAGTTCGCTTTTAAGAGCGGTTCAGGTGGAACCGCTATCATATACAACCACATTTTTTTATTATGATCGATTAGATTTTCAAATGATCGATCATATTTGATAATTTTTTCAAATAATTAATTATAATCGATTAGTTTTCTAAATTATTGATTAGAATTGATTAGTTTTTCAAATAATAGATTATAATTGGTTAATTTCTGAAATATATATTAAAAAATTATAATTAAAAATATAAATTATTTAAGAATATTAACTATTGTAAAGATAAAGTAGAACATGGGAGGAGATGAGGATGATAATATAATGATAGAATTTACAAAAATGTAGAATTGAGAAGTTTAAAACAAAAAAAATTAAGGAAATAGAGATTTAATTACAATTTTAATAAATTTAAGATAATACTAGTTTTGATTTTTATTTTTAAATATTTATTTTAATTTTTTAAAACAGAGAAACTATAATTTTAGTTTCTAAATACTCAATTTAAAGAATTAAATTTATTATTATTTAATATTTTAATTTTAGAATTAAAATTTAAATTATATTTTATTAAATTAAAATAATTACAATATATTTTTCTACTTTGTGAATGGAGAATATAATTAAACTCAAAACTGAAAATATTATAATACATTTTTGAACTCTTTTGGATTAATTTTTTTTCCTAATTTTTGATAAAGTTAATTTTAATATTTAAAAGTATTTAACATTTTGAATTCTGAAACGTTTTCTCTAATAGCAAATTTAAAAACATAATATTCAAAAAAATAGTTAATGTAAGTTTTCATTATGATCTATTATATTTTGAAATAATTGATCATAATTGAAAATATATAATAGCGGTTCCACGTTAACCGCTATCTAAAATATATTTTAGATAGCGGTTGAGGTTTAACTGCTATTAGAAGTTCACTTTTAAGAGCGGTTCAAGTGGAACCGCTATCATATACAACCACATTTTTTTATTATGATCGATTAGATTTTCAAATGATCGATCATATTTGATAATTTTTTCAAATAATTAATTATAATCGATTAGTTTTCTAAATTATTGATTAGAATTGATTAGTTTTTCAAATAATAGATTAGAATTGATTAATTTCTGTAATATATATTAAA